TTACTTCAAATTACCGATAGATTGCAGTTGGGTGCTTCTCCCTCGAAACTGTTTTTTCTAAATCGAATTTGAAGTGTCGTCGAAAGATACGATTTAAGTTTATTTCCGGTTAATTTCTCTCTAATTGTTTCGAAAAATCGACTAAATTAAAATAGAGTAACTTAGTTGACTTATACTTAATAAATAAGATTGCAATATGCGTTTTTGATATAACAATAACAATCTTATAATGCTTGATGGATTCCACCGTAACTTGATGGAAATTGATTTTATGTAACAATAAAACACTGAAAACTTTGTTTTAAAACTTTCACAAAATTTATTTTCAACTTATTATCACTATATATGTGTTCATTAAGCACATTGAGCATTTTCATTCTCACAAAATTAATGAGAGGTAAAAGGATCCATATTTTTTATACATAAAAGAATAACAGAATATTGTAATACTTTATGCTATTGGCAATAACAACTCAAAGACCCGATTATCCTTCTTACATGGTCAAAATAATGCAATTTTAAATTTCCCTCTTAAAATAATCTTCGACTTTGACTTGAGTTTTCTCAAAATGTTGATTTTGCTACGTAAACCCCTCGACTTCTCAAATATAATGTAGTGTAAACAAAATAAAAGTTTCCTTGTTGTACAAAGACCTTGATTAGTACTTTAAACCTTTGTATACTATAATATATAACTGTAGTATACTATGCAACAGCAAAAAGTTATAGACCTTTCTTCTGCCGTTTTAATCTGCCAAATGCGTTATTCAGAAGAAGGGCTTATGTAAACTCCTGTTACTACTCTTCATTTAAAAAGAAAAAAGGACATATTTTATAAAGGTCTATTATTTTATCAATGGATCGAAAATTCTTAAAACTATAGTTTATTTTTATGAACGAGAGAGTAATTAGCATAATTTTAACTGGTACCTTCGACCACTCCATGGGCGTGCTCAAGATTAATTGAAAAATTACTTTGAATAATTGTAAAAAATAAATGAATTATTTCAGTATAAACAAAAGTGACCTCTTTTATCACACACTATATTAGAACTGACTGGCCTACATTAAAAAAGGTTTTAAAAAATTCACATTTTTTTTAATTTTTAAAAATTACAAAAGAGAAAAAGAGTTTTTAAAACCGTCTAAGGTATATTAAATAGATGAATAAAAATATTAACATAAAACTTACAGCTACTTGTTACAAATCCAAATCAGATTCAGAAGATGAACTTTCAGAACCAAGATTTATAATAACTGGCTCGATCATTTTATCAGTAATATTGTCCAGCTTCCACATTTTTTTCCTCTTCTTTAATAGTGTGATTTACTGCCTTTTCCCAGTTTTCAGGTTTTACATTATTTACGGCCTCCAAAAACAACTGTTTAACATCATGAATTTTAAAAGTGGTATTTTTTCTTGAAACTTCACTCTTTATCTGTGCCCATACCAGTTCAATCGGGTTTAATTCACAATGATATGGTGGGGATCTAAGTACTGTCATTCCACGATTTTTGGCAATTTCATCAATTTCGTATTTTTTTAAATTTTTCTTTATGAAGGGCACACAACGAATAAAGTTCCTTTCTTATAGATCCGGGATGGTACGTAATATTTTTTGAACTCAGCCAATTCTGCAAGTCTTTTTTTAACCACTTGGTTGTGGGCAGTCCTTCTATAAGTCTGGAGTGATAACTTGCATTATCCATTATTATTACACAGTTCTTAGGAAGAAGATCTATCATTTGTTCGAACCATTCTTGAAAGACATCAGCGTTCATGTCTTCATGGTAGTCACCGGTACGAGTTAATTCAAAAGTTAATAAACCACCTTTAACAAAACCGTCTGAACTGCCAATGTGTACTATTATCAGCCTGCGTCCCTTTCCTGATGGTGTGTTTTAAAACAGTAGATAAGTTATTTACAAAAGCGTGCCTTTGACTTGTAACAGTTTCATCCTGCCAAAATTTATTTGGTGTATGACCCTCGTTGATCCATGTTTCATCAAGATAAAATATTTTTCTTTTTTGGTTTCTCATTTCCTTTATGGTTCTTAGAAAATGTCTTCTCCATATGACAATATCGCTTCTTTCTAATAAAATAGACTTTCTGGGATTCTTTTTCCAGCGGAAGCCTATTTCTTTTAAAAGTTTCCATAACGTACTTCGACTCATTTCTGGGTAATCCTTATCATCTCGAACTGAGACAAGAACTTTATCCAATGTTGGAAATTCTTGTCTAAAGAAGAATTCATGCACTTTCCGTCGAAGTCCTTCTTTAAAATGATATTCTATTTGAAATTTTGGTTTCCCTGGAGCATTACGTGGCATTTGAAAACTACCACATTTCTCTTCTTTAATAACTCTGTAAATCGTAGATTTCCCAACACCAAGTGTACTGCTAACTAACTCAACGGTCTCATCAACACTTTCACATAAATGTTTGTCTGTAAATGATTTAAAACAATTAAATATTAATGTTTTTTTATTAACTGTTAAAGGACCAATTTTTCGGCGTTTACACGGCACTTTTTTCCAAATTTTCCATAACACTAGTATACACAATAAACTGCACCTTGCAACTGAAGTACCTACTTTTAGTGAACTGTTACGAATTTTGAATACGCCACTTGGACCTTCCTACAAAATGGAAAAAACCCACTATCACATTTTCTGTGGAATAATTTTCTAAGGTAATTATCTAGTCAATTACTGTCGTAGATTCCTGGAATTAAAGAATTCAATGTTTTATTGTTGAAACCCTTACTTCGTGGAATGCACTCATTTCAGATAAAATAAAACGTTTTATTTTATCTAAAGAATTAAACTTTATTTTGCAAATAGGTAGGTACTTATTAAACTTTTATTGGTTATATATAACCAATAAAATAAACATCTTACATTTCTTGCAAATTCATTAGTACCTGTTAACCTCCATCACTCCGACACTGGCAACCTTATTTAGGGATTAGTAACCCCCACAACGATTGTATTCTATTCTGCTCCAGCCTTTATACCTGGTGGTCATACTTAATTTAAAATTGTTTTCCTATATACTTCTGTAAACTTGTTGACAAATATCTGTTTTTCATTGCGTCACCCGCATCAACAGTTTAGGGATTTGCATACATAATTTATTGTTTTATTACTCTCTCATACATAAAAATACACTATAAAACACTTCAACAATGCAAGTGTTGGTTTTCCTTAGCCATGGATGGTAAATCTTCAAATGCTTGTTTCTTAAAATACACTTTTAGCAGATAGGACCTTCTTCTAGCTACCGCATCAATAAAAAGATTTATCTACTTAGATTGTAGTAACAATGATATCCTTTAAGAGCTTTTTTTTGAAAAACTCTTTTTAATTTTTGTTTTTCGTCCCAGTACAAGACATGTATGTTTGGTAATAACATCGACATAATGATATATTGAATTTCACTATATTTTGGCGATAATGAAACCCTTTCCCAAATAGGAACGATTTAAAAAACGCCAAAGGGTAACATCCAAGTTATTTACGGCTCGGTCAAAATTATTACATAAATTTCATATTTGGGGCCACCATGTTATGACCGACTAATGAGATTTATTATGGCGGGTAATACTTGTTTTGGAGTTCCGGACATATTTCGATTACAGGGTGCCCTTTTATACAGGTTGGTGATTTTAATTGGAATAAATTCGACAAAATGTACCAAAGTTGTTCTCGTAACAAGGTATTACATGATGTACAACATTAACATGGGAAATTTGAAATTTTGGCAAAAAAACAAACAAACAAGTATTTTTGGGCAGTGCTTGGCTGGAGCCTATTTATCTATCGAGTATACGAATATTTGTCAATACTATTGTGTTGCCCCTCAGACAATCAACAAAATCGACAAAACCAATTACACAGTGGAGACCCAACAAATAAAGAAGTGTCAAATGCCATCCTAAAACTCGACAATAAAGCCCCAGGAATCGATGAAATATGTTGGAAAATGTATAAAAAAAAGGTAGTGATCAACTTTTTGCAGCAATTCATAAACTAATAGTACTTATATGGCAGAATAAATTGATACCAAAAGAGTGGCTAAAGGAAATAAAACGTTCGTTACATAAAAAGGGTGATTATTTGGAGTGTAAGGACTTTAAAGGCATTACTATGTTAGCATCTGCGTATAAAATCTTCGACGATGTATTGCTTGAAAGACTTTAAAATTTTACACAGGATATTGTTGGTCAATATGAATGCGGATTTACTGCTGGAAAGAAAACCACACATCGAATTCAAGCACATAGGAAGATTCTAGAAATGTCGCTTAAATACAACATAGATGCATACCATCTTTTCGTCAACTTCAAAGCAGGTTATGACAGTGTGAACAGAATTGCATTATAAATGCAATGTTAGACTTTGTTAGTTAAAAAAATCAATTATATGTAAGAGCTAGAGAGTGCCGACAAACTGTTTAGTAGTTTGTTGGCAACATCTGTATAAAATATTATAGTTGTGTTTAGCCTAGTTTTTTTTGGAAATTCATCATCATCAGTAGTGCTACAGCTCTAGGTGAGCCTTGACCATCCCCAGTCTATTTCGCCAGTCGTTTCTGTTCATCGCCAACCGTTGCCAATTTGCCTCGCCGATTTTCCTTGCGTCCTCGTCCACACCGTCCCTCCATCTCAGTCGTGGTCTGCCTCTACTCCTATTTCTCACTGGGACCGATAATAGAGTTCGTCTGGGTGGGTAATTTTCATTTGCTCTTGACACATGTCCAGCCCATCTAAGCCTGCCTATTTTTATGAAGGATATTACATCTCTACCATTTACTATTTTTTTATATTTCTCGTACAATTCGAAATTATATCGCCTTCTCCAAATACCATTCTCACAGAATTTTTTTTGGAAATTAATTTGCAAAAATTTGTCTTCAGGTGGGGCGGATATGGACACCATGGTGCGACAGTACATGAAGAAAGTAGGTATAAACGTCATGAATTACAATTCAGGAAATATGGAGAGAACTATTTCTGATGTTAGGAATAAAATGAAAACCTTAAGACAAGCTGCTGAATATTATTGTATACCAAAATCCACCTTGCATGTTAAACTCAAAGGCAAATCGGCATTTCAACGAGGTGGACAAAATGCTCTTAGTGCACAAGAAGATAAAAGGCCCAAGGAATCAAAAAAATTTGTGAATGGGGGTTTCTAGTGACCAATTTCTATATAAGAGTCTTAATAAAAAGCTATCTGGACAGAAAAGGACAAACTATTTCTCTCTCATTAATAAACACAGACTAACCTTGGACTAACATTAGTCCCAGGACTACACCAATATTCATTTTTCGTATTAATAAACAGCGACTAAGGACAGACTAAGCTAATCCTTCGCTAGTCTCGGACTAACATTTAATCCGAGATAGTGGCAGGTTCAGAGAGTGACTGACTGGACATTGACATTGAGTTGAATTTCGTTTTGGTATTCATAACCTGAATTGTTTTTGATTATTTATACATTATTTAATAATGGAAGATTATTTTATCAACGACTTAAGATTAATAAAACAACTTAATGACCATAGAAATCAGCGAAATAATATTCATCTAAGACATATATTAAAATATATAAAATTAGAAAAAATGCTCTAGAAGAATTAGAAAAAAATGAATTTAAGTGCAAATATCGCTTTTCAAAAGCTACAGCAGTTTTTATATTAGATATGCTTAGAGATGATTTATTTGGGGATTCCAGAGGTGGACATATACCTCCTCATTTAAAAGTTCAGTCCAACTAAAATTAACTCCACGTGCTCCAACTTATGCTAACTGTCAAATTCTCAATTATTTTTCTTCTTTTTCACAAAATTCTCTCGATTTTTCTTCTTTTTTGCAATAGTTGCCAACATAAACTTGTTGTAACTAGGACGAAGGAAGGTTTAGTTAGTCTGAACTTAGTCCATGTTTATTAATAACATTCTAAAAATGAAGTTAGTACTCGCTTAATCTGGGACTAACTACTTAGTCCGAGACTAACTTCGGACTAAGCAATTTTTATTAATAAGACTGTTTAAGTATAAATTTATAAAAATTTTAAGAACAATCTACCCGGGATCGACTGGTTTTAAACACTCCTTAAGAGAAATAATGTTATAACAGAACGTATGGCCCAAAATATAAAGCGGTACAGGGACAAAATGTTACACGAGAAACAGTTTTAAACTATTCTAACAATTTAACAAACACACTTGAAGGCGTTCTCCCGTCTCACATTGTCAATTACGACGAAGCTAATTTAACTGACGACCTGGGTAGAATAAAAGTGTTGTGCCGTCGCGAATCAAAAAGGGTCGAAAGAATTCTTCTTCTTCTTAGGGTGCCTGTCCATTCCAAACGTTGGTGATCATTCTGGCTATGATGATTTTACTTTGACGGTATACAAGGCAACTATCGAACACGGTGATTAATTTAATCTTGCCCAAGTACTTTCAATCCATAGATCATCTTCAGGGGCATCTGAAATAAGCCAAGAAACGTTTTTTATAAAAAAGGAAAATTAATTCACTTATGATTGTTTATGATTGAAAAAATTTTTATATGTGATAAACGTTTATAGACTTACTTCGTCAGTTGTGGCCTATCCGACATGAGTAGAATGTCATAAATGTAAATTTGGACATAACAATACAAAATACAATACACAAAGACAAACAAACACTTTAAAATTTTTGAACAGGAGAAGCTACATGTTGTAGTATAGAAGCCGGAGACAAAATGGGCTCCCGGTCTGACGGAAATATTGAGATGACATGTGACAAATGACAGCTTGTGAAGGGCAGTTATGTGATCTGCACCTTTCAAAATTCTATGAAACTAAGTATTGACCAAAGGTCCAACTGACACCACTATAGGAAATCAACTGATGAAATATAAAATTATATAGTATATTTTTTATGTAGATTGAATAATCCAAATCTCACACTCAAACCTGTCTATAATAATTAGGATGTTAGTTTGAGAGCAATTGAAGTTGACATAAAGTATGAATGTAAGAAAAGACTAAACAATATTTTAGACAGTGGATGGTTGACTACAATAAAATGGTCCACCAAGTGCTATCAGTACTGTAAAAAAGAAAAATCTGAATATGCAGTTAAATTACTAAAAGTTAAAATCAAAATTGAAGACAAAATATATAAATGTGTTATAATCCAAGTAGTTCAGTTGAATCCACAGTCAATGGAAGAACTTTAAAATTAATATTGAAATGCTCAGTGCATGAAGTCTAAATAGATAGGATGAATACACTTGATAAAAGTGGTATTTACAAATTAAAATGTGATGATTGTGATGCCTCTTATGTAGGTAGAACCATCAGAAAGTTATCCACTAGAGTCTCTGAACATTTGAAAAGACCAAATTCTTCAAGTTTTGGTTAACACTTAGTATCCAGCAACCACAATTTTAACATCAATTCTGGTTCATCTATCTTATATGACATTAGTAGAAAGCAAAACTATCTTGAGTTGGATTTATTGGAAGATGTGGAGATTACAAGGGAAACAAATGAAAACTCTCACTGTCTTAATACTCAAATTAATTTAAATTGTACTAAATTTAATCCTATATTTAAAAACTTTATTACAGCTTCACCTCGTAGAGGACCCAGCTCGACTGTTTAGACTTCATGCACTGAGCATTTCAATATTAATTTTAAAGTTCTTCCATTGACTGTGGATTCAACTGAACTACTTGGATTATAACACATTTATATATTTTGTCTTCAATTTTGATTTTAACTTTTAGTAATTTAACTGCATATTCAGATTTTCTTTTTTACAGTACTGATAGCACTTGGTGGACCATTTTATTGTAGTCAACCATCCACTGTCTAATATATTGTTTAGTCTTTTTCTTACATTCATACTATATGTCAACTTCAATTGCTCTCAAACTAACATCCTAATTATTATAGACAGGTTTGAGTGTGAGATTTGGATTATTCAATCTACATAAAAAATATACTATATAATTTTATATTTCATCAGTTGATTTCCTATAGTGGTGTCAGTTGGACCTTTGGTCAATACTTAGTTTCATAGAATTTTGAAAGGTGCAGATCACATAACTGCCCTTCACAAGCTGTCATTTGTCACATGTCATCTCAATATTTCCGTCAGACCGGGAGCCCATTCTGTCTCCGGCTTCTATACAACATGTAGCTTCTCCTGTTCAAAAATTTTAAAGTGTTTGTTTGTCTTTGTGTATTGTATTTTGTATTGTTATGTCCAAATTTACATTTATGACATTCTACTCATGTCGAATAGGCCACAACTGACGAAGTAAGTCTATAAACGTTTATCACATATAAAAATTTTTTCAATCATAAACTTGGAGTTTTTTATCCAAGTGAATTAATTTTCTTTTTTTATAAAAAACGTTTCTTGGCTTATTTCAGATGCCCCTGAAGATGATCTATTGATCGAAAGTACTTGGGCAAGATTAAATTAATCACCGTGTTCGATAGTTGCCTTGTATACCGTCAAAGTTTAATTATTGGAACATTCAACCTTATATTGACTTATGATGATTTTGTTGGTTGCTATACGAAATAGCTGTGTTGAGATCTTTCTATACCATGCTCTCAGGTTAGCAAGCCAGGATATTCTTCTTCGTCCTGGGGCTTTCTTTCCTTCAATTTTACCCTGCAAAATGCATTGGAGTAGCTCGTATATACCTTGGCTTCTCATTATATGTCCCAAGTACTCCAGCTTACGGCTCTTCACAATGTTGACCAAATCTGCGGTTGTGTTCATCCTCCGCAGTACTTCTTCATTGGTGACTTCATATGTCGAAAGAATATCTAATGGATTCGAGCAAAGCCAGCACATCAGTTATGATGGCTATCAGCGGATCAGGTATACTTTTAGCCCCATATGTAATGTACAAATCGGTACACTTATATCCATCATGGGTAGAGGGAGGGCCAGAAGGGTGTGTCTACAATAGAACAAAGGCTAGTTCGACTCTCCAACATTCAAAGACTGGTTAGATGAAATTCTTCTCCCATATTTTAAAAAATTGCCAGGGAAAAAAGTAATCATATGGGATAACTCAGCTAGCCATATGTCTATACATGTTGTCGAAAACTGCGAAAAGTATGACATTCAGTTTGTGATGCTGCCTCCAAATGAAACGCATTTATACAGCCGCTAGACGTCGCTTTTTTTGCTCCATTTAAAAAGTCGTGGCGAAATACCCTTACCGAATGGAAAATCAAAAATAGAGGATGTATTCCCAAATCTGATTGGGCTATTTAAAAAAGCCATTGAAGTCATTGTTTATATCAAAAATAATGTTACGTCTGGTTTCAAAAATAATCTTCCGTGGAGAAATTATTCCAATAAAGTCAGGCAACGTCATCACAAAACTACCAGCTAGTGAACCTTCAGAGACTGAAAACCAAGACCACACAGAAGTTCTTAAAATTTCTTTTGGTTCAACAAAAAGGACAATATTTAGTATATCAAAGGAAAATTGTCCATTTTCTTCACTTTCAGTACACTTTGTTTTCTTTAAAAAATCAGTTGGTAAACTATGTTATAACCGAAAATAGTTAATTTAAAAACTAGTAAAAAAGAATGTTAGAAAAAAATTAAAAGTCCATTTAATATAGCTGATTGAATGATCCTGTTTTGTTCTTAATTTATTGACTTGTTCCGTGGTTGGCGTGGATGCGTGTGTGAAAAACTTATTTACCACCACGGAAATAAAAATAATAATTAAATTGAATAAAACGTAGAAAAAAACTGTTAATAATTTTTATTTTGTAAAACGTAATTAATTGTCCTTTTTTTTAAGGGGAATAAATATTGATGGTGAATACTTAAGCCACTTACGCTTTGCAGATGATATTGTCATTATAACCGAGAGTTTAAATGAAGCTAACAAAATGATGGAAGAACTAAAACAGGCAATAGAACAAATAGGCCTGAACATAAACTTTGAAAAAACAAAATACATGACCAATTTAGTTCCAAGTGATGTTATGAGGGTGTATAGAAACGAAGTACATCAGGTCTTTAGTTATATCTATCTAGGGTATGAAATTAGAATAGGAAAAGATAATCAAACTTGTGAGATCCAGCGTCGTATAGGCTTGGGATGGGCAGCATTTGGCAAGATGCGAGATATTCTAAAAGGAACGCTACCGAT